CAGCAACATTTTTGTGGCATTTTTCTTCATTCCAGCGATATTCGGCGCTTACCCACACCCATTCAAGCTTGATTTGAGTTATCCACCCCCTCCGGCTTTGATTTGGCGTCGACCAACTCATGTTCGGACTCAAATCAGCATTACCCATCGGTTTTCGGCTTCAGCCTAGTAAGTCTAAGGCCTTTCAAACTCGGTTGTGGGAGCCCGAGCCTCCTCGACGTCGACCCACTCCTAAGCCAAGAGATTTTAGTGTGAGTTAGTAGGTAACGAATCACCCCAAGCTTGGTTTCAATTAATTTTAAGTGTTTCCAATAGATTTCTTACGCAATTGTAATCTCATTTGTTTTAGGAACCTTTCAGCAAGGCTTAGGGACCCTTGCAGTACGTAGCTCTTACTTGCGGGGGTGATTGTTCTTTGAAGCATGAATTGCTTGTTGTTTGTGCGTGCGATGATTTAATTCTTTATAACTAATGCTATTGATCTATTGATGATGAGCGGTTGAATATATAGATTGAATCTTGTATGTGAACAGGTTAGATATAGCATTGTTGTGTGAAACTGTTGGATGTATTTCAGAATTGAGTTGGATATATTGTAGTTGGGCGTGTTCTTAAAAGTTTTGTGAATTGTTCTGTGAAAAGTCTGTTATGTAAAGCATGCTGAAAAGTTATTTGTTGAAGCTTATGTGTTCTCTATGTTGTGAGCAAGTTAGTTGTTGTTAAATTATGTGTTATTGAGACCCGTGATGCATTAAAATCATACTAGATGATTTGTTGTGGATAGACGTTGTGATTAGGGAGCTGGTACTGGAATCTTGGTTGGAGGCTAGAAATGATATGTAGAGTTTGGATGTTATGGAAGAATAATAGGTGAGAGTCAAGGCCCCAAATACACAAGTTGGGGGTTGATGCGTCATAAGTTGGGTATCGAGGCTCTAGGTACAAAGGTCGGGGTAGATACGCCAAATTTGATAAGATGAGTATCGAGGCTTCGGGTACAAAGGTCGGGGGTCGATACACCAGCCTTGGTAAGAATGAGGGTCGAGCCTCCTAGTACAAAGGTCGAGGGTCGACACGGTGAAACCAATTGTTGGGTAAGTAGACTTTACTGGAGGGGATGTCTGAAGTATGGTTGGTGAATAGTTTGTCATGTGCTTGTGTGCCGATGGTTGTTGTCTGCTTGTATGCTTTTAGTTTATTGATAAATACATCTTATTATTATCATCATTATTGATCAACTGTTAGAACCATAAGCTTGTTGTGTCATGAAATGTGTTATGAATTAGTAAGCATGATTGGCAACGTCGAGTTTGATGTCGTATTATGCCTGGGATGTGATTAGAGAAAATAATGGATAGTTGTTCTGGTGCCATGATTGGTTGTATGTAAAGCATGTTGATTATGTTGCTTATGTTTAGCTGAGTTTTTTTGTGGGACTTATATGTTTAATGTATATCACATGCTGGATTGTTGTGAGGTGAATATTGATTTGTATGCTATATACTGGATTGGTGGGAGTTGCATGGGCAATGAATTAGAAGTATGTAGGACTCTTGTGAGAGTTTGGTTCTGTTATGAAGTGAATGGGTGAATATTAGAGCCAGAGGGCTGATACGTCACAGTTGGGTATCGAGGCTCCGGATGCAAAGGTCGGGGATCGATATGCCATCTTTGGACAAAGACAATTGTCCAGGCTTCGAGTGCAAAGTCGAGGGTCGATGCGATAAGTCTTAGAGGAAGGCAAGTATTGGGGCCTTGAGAGGAAAGGACAAGGGCCAATATGTTGCAAAGTCATCGATGTTTTAGCTATGCGTGGTTAGGGGTCGGTGTAACAGTTCGAGTACTTGGGTACAAAGGTCAAGGAATCGAACGCTAAGCGCTGAAGAGAAGTGTCGAGGCCCTGGGTACAAAGGTCAGAGGTCGATACGACTCGAAGGAATAAGTCTTGGAGGAATAGGAAAAAACTAATGAGTTTAGAGAAGTATTGATGCCTTGGCTATGCGTGGTCAAGGGTCGGCGCAACAGTTCAAGGCCTTGGGTACAAAGGTCAAGGATCGAATGTGAAGTGCAGTAGAGAAGTGTCGAAGCCCTAAGTACAAATGTCAGGGGACGATACGACTCGAAGGAGTAAGTCTTTGAGAAACAGGAAAACAAACTAGTGAATTGAGGTGCGATGATGAGTTTGGCATGTAAGTTGCATGTTCATGTATGTGTATATTTTTATTTTATAAAGCATGACGATTTGTTATATCCATGTCGCTTGAACTTTCTGTGATAAGCATGTTGTTTGTGCGTGACCCTTCGGGTATGTACTGCTTATTGGGTACCGTGGTTGTACTTACCCCTTATTTTTCTCACCAGATTTTGTAGGTAACAGGGTTATTCTTCGGAATGGTGGTGGCGAGGAGGAGGCTTGATCAGAAAGACCATTAGTTGTGCTGCGTGCATTTAATTTCTTTTAGTTAGGCTAGTTGCAATTATTCCCTCCTGTAGTTGAGTTGTTAGTGATTGGTTCTGTTTACTTTTATGGTTTAAAAGATTTTTAAGTCGTCAGTTCACTACTCTTTGGGGTTATTAGTTTTTTTTAGCTTTTCGAGCTGTGGGGTTGCAATATATTAAGGATAATTATTAATACATTTGGTCATGTTGATATTCAATTAGCTTTTGTTTCGTTACCATTCGAGATCTTAATATTCGTTTAGTGGATAGTTTATGGTTTGTAAAGGTTTTTTTGAGAAGTTTGGATAAGGTGAAGTTTTTATTAGATGGATTATTTGTACAGTATTGAGTTTTGATTAAATCTTGAGTGTTGTTGGTTACTTTGTATAAACACTTGTAAGTGTTATTAAATAGAGTAGCACAGCGGAAGCGTGATGGGAATTTATTGTTGTTTAATTCTCTAGTACGAGTGGTGCTTTTAAGATGGTTTTAGTAACGATCCCTGTTGGAAGATTGGAAATCCTGAGGCGTTACAGTACTTGACACACAAAGCACAACCCACACATTAAAAGATTTCGACCCACCCATCAACAAAATCTATTTTTTCAACTGACCTAAGAATAATATTAGCTACATCAATTTTCTGTTAATAAGTTTTCGAAATTAGGGTATATTTAGCCTGTTTAATAGTTTCATACATCAAAGTCGAAACATGGATGGGTAGAATTCATTCTCATCACATGATGCAGCAAGTGGAGCAAGGGCGGCGAGCCCTCACCGGAGATGGTGGCGGAGGCTGATAGGACAGTGGGTAGTGATCCGGTGCGGTGGGGTACATGTCAGGATGATGGTTGCTGTATCTGTGAAGATCATCATATGTATTGTGATATGATGTGTGGCCATGATCAAATGCTGAAGATGCGGCAGCTGATTCCAGCTGAAGAAGAAGAAGCTCTACGCGTTTGCCTGATTTTGAAAGCATCTTCAAGAAGCTTTGAAGGTCTACATTTCCACTCACACTTGCCACTACTCTCTCCACGTGAATCTAATATGAAACTCCTAAAAATGTTAAAAAAATGAGTTTGTAAAATTATATATATAATTCACATCAAATATTAGTGTGCTTTGAAACATAAATATTCTTTATAAAGAGTTATTTCCTATTATGTGTCAAACATTATTATAATTATTAGTCTAATTTCAAAAATAAAATAATATTTTTAAAAACTACTTTTTTTTTTAATTTTAGCTTACATTTTGAAAATGTTAAGAAAAAATATATATCAAAAGTGTAAGTTATGTTTATAAGCTATGATTTTAAAATAATAATAAAAAAAAACCTAAGAAAATAGTTACCAAATTGGCCTACAGATTTCAAGTATTGGTTTTTATCTTTGGTTGGGCCGAGTGGCATTTATTCAAAACGGAATTATTTTTACCCCAAACTAAATTTTCTAACATTTTATGCTTATGTCACTTTTAAGGTTGTTAAGATTAATCATTAAGTGGGCTTCAATTATGTGGGCTGTTGTTATTCTGTTAGTATGAAATAACAAAATGGTTATAATTAGTTTTACTTTTAGTTAAAGGCCCAAGTGTCTATAAAAGACCTTTATCATCTGTCTAATACGTGAGGATTTTGATATAATTGAAAATCTCATTTGGTTGTGCATTCTCTCTATACGATATGAAATGTTGATTTTTCTTCTTCTTCTCTAGCTCCCTTGAAATTTTTCTAAAATCGTTAACAAAACTAGGTTATCTATAATAGACTCGCTAAACAATCTGGGCTAAACACTCATTTTAAAACTGAACCCAAATTATGTGATGGGCTTTAATTTGATTTGATTAAATCATAAAATTATTTTATAATACAAAGAAAAACTATTGAGTGCTTACAATGAAAAAAAAAAACATGTTTTTTCCCTCTCTAGATTTGGTGTTTTCCCTTCCCTCTTTCCCATTTTCATTCTTCTCATCCCTTTTCCGTACATGTACCTCCTCTCGCGATTCACGGTGATGGTCAAAGTTATGAAGGCCTGCGACGGTGAAGTTGAAAACCACATTGTTACGCTATGTCCTGCCTACGACCGCAGAGTAGCTTGAAAGATCTCTCTCGCTCTCAGTCATATCTCTCTCGCTCTCGCCCAGGCTTCTCTTGCTCTCTGTCTGATCTCTCTTGCTCTCGATTAGATATCTCTCGTTCTTGTTCAAATCTCTCTTACTCTTGCTTAAATCTCTCTCGATCTTTGCATTTATCTATTGTAAAATAATTTTATCAAATCAAATCACATCACATCATTTGGGTTTGATTGGGTTTCATAATGAGTGTGTTGAGGCAATATTTTTCTGTTAGAGAACTCAATTTTATTTATGATTTTGAAAAAATAGAGAGAATATAAGAAGAAAAATTAGGAGAGAGGAAGAATAAATGCCGGAAGAGAGAGAGATGTTTTTTGATTTGTTAGATATATACAAGAGAAAAGAGACAAAAAGAAGTAATGTGAGGAACAAAAAGTACATAATTTCAAAGCGGTTACAAAACTTGGACTTTCGTAAAAATCAAGTCTGGCTACTGTTGCCTAAAAATCCTTTTATCATGTTAGAAAGTTAGCCACGCTTATAATTTACAATTCCAGTGTCGGCTTTCTGTTTCTAAAGATTAATATCAACATAGGTTTTCTTTGTTTAATCTTTCATTTATTTTTAACACAATTCGAAATCTTTGACAATATTAAAAAAAAATTAAAATTAATAATATTATTTTACAACTTTTCTTACGTTTCTAAAATTTAACTATGTTTTTTTTCCACAAAAAAAAGGCAAATTATTAAGAAATAATAATATGATTAAAAGGAAAACAAAAGTAGAATGATATATATGAGAGAGAGGACCTTCGACAGTGGAAAAAATTTTGGTGATTGTTTTATGCCAACCTTCAGACTGCGTATCCACTTTCAGTTGACAGCTCTGCAGATTCACAAAACAAAGTTTTTATAGCCAACAAGAAGAAGAAGAGGAGAGAGATTAAAAAAACAAGAGAGAGAAACAGCTATGAACTCCAAAAAAATTACCATGAAACCATTGGATTTCATTCCCTCTACTGTGTAATATGGCTACTTAGCTTTTAGTATACGATCGTTGTCGTTGTTGTTTCTGTTTTCTTTTCTCGGCAGCAAAAAAAATTTTGATGGGAAACAAACACAAAGGAAAATAAGAGTTTTCCTTTGGGATTATTGAGGTATATGTCAATTAGCGCTGAGTTATACTCGCTTTGGCGGTCAATTGTTATGGTTAATTCAGGTTATGGAAGTTCTTACATTCTCCCAGTAATTTATTATATTATTCTATTTTTGTAACTTACATTAAGTTCTAAAGATTATTGTTATTATTATTATCTTTTCCTAAGAATTTTTTTTATTTTGATTAAATATATTAAATGAAAGCCTGGTCCAAGTTGAAAATTATAAAATTCACAGCGAAGTTGTCAAGGAAAAGAATCAACTAGTTATTGGAAATGGAAAGTCTTTGATCTGATTAACGCCTATTGATTTTCTGCTCTCTTTTGTTTTCAAAATAATTAGAGCCTTTTCCCATTTAAGTAAATGTGGTGAGAATCTTTGTAATAAAAAAAATGTGGTGAGATGAGAATCTCTAAAATCACTCCCCTTATATTCTGACAAGATTACGTTTCTCTATTCAAGGTAAATATAATTTTGAAGATCTAAGAGAATTATGTATCTCTAATTCGATTTTATTAGATTTCAATTTTATTTTTTTTATTTTTTTATTTTTTTTATGAATTTTATGTCTTTCTTGTTAATTAAATTAAGAATTGGCAATCTAATTGGTTACCATATTCCTACATTCTATGGGGCCATTAATTTAGTTTTTGCACCGTCTTGGTTTGGTTGAAACAACTAATAATCCACAATTTTTTTATCTAGACTAGTAAGAAACACATGTCATGCACATGAAATATTGTAGTTCTAATTTAAAGTAAACTAAACAGTATTTTTTAAGTTTACAATATTATCATTTAAAAGAAAGACAGTTTGTTTCTTTTAACTCTAAAGAATTAAATAATAACCTATAATTTTTAGATATATATAAATTATAGTATGAATTTAAGGTACAATCTTGTTGCAATAAATTACTTGTAAAAAACATATTATGGCAATAAAAGAAGAATATGAAATATTAGCATAAAAAGCCAGCACAATTGTAAATAGTAAGATGAAAGATGCAAAGCAGCAACAACGTGCAATTATTTATTTATTTTATTATTATTATTATCATTATTATTATTATTATTTTTTATAGAAAACATCAATGTGCAAGTATTATATTAAAAAAAAGTCTAAGATGTGATCATCTCTTCAAGACATTACCTGCATTCTGCCACCTAACATCACCGTCTCTTGAGATTGATGTGGCACCACCTTTAGCACCAAATATTTTTGTTCTGGTATATAGGATATTTTTGGAAATAGTTTAAGAAAAAAATTATTTAAAAAAAAAAAGTCCAAGAATAGAAGCTAGGGACATTTTGTTTTTGAAAAAAAAAAAAGTAAAAGAAATGGCTCTTATAGAATTGTATGAGTGGAAGAAGATGGTAGCAATAAATTACTTGTAAAAAAAAAATAGGGGCAACTCGCTAAAATAAATAACGCATTTTAAAAAATGGTCAAACATATGAGATATTGCATAAATGACTAAATCAAATTTTTTTAAAATACTGAATAAATATTTTAGACCAATATACTCCTGTAACAAAAATTAAGTATACAGAAATTTATTTGATAGAACGAATAGGAAAGGAATCAACCGTATCTAAGAAAACAATTGATAAATCAAATTTAAACTATTTAAAAGTGATACTCTATATTTTGAAATGCGATACTGAAAATAGATTTAAAAATTATAAAAAAATTGTTAAGGTTGATTTCTAAATGTATAGATTGAAAATCTAAAATTCCTAAATAAGAAAGGTAAATATGAATATTTATAGGGAAAATTATGAAAATTTAGAATCCTAACTTGTGTTGGAACAAGTTGGATTTAGGGTTTGTAGGGTATGCTTATTGTGCCTCTACTTAGAGGATAAGTGCAAGTGACACTGTCACAAGTAATAATCTGGAAATATTCCAAGTTCGTCTTCACAAGGACTAGTTTTTCTTTTAAAATTGAATTTGAAAACTATTTGAATGAGCAATCAGATTTGTGATAAAAATTGGTGAGATTGGTTGAACACAAAAAACACACGAAAATAATAGAATTTAAAAGGTCAATCCCCTTACTTCTGTTTAGTTCTAAAATGACGACTTACACCTATCAAATGTGCCCGTAATTACGCTCAATTTATGCAAACTGGTTCAACTCCTATTTCATACCGCTTTTGGTTTGTTTAGAATTTAAGGCTAGTGTTTACATATGTCTATGCAACTCTAGAATCCTAAATGAATTAAATGTCAACTTACGTTTAACGGGTAAGAGAGCCTATGTCTAGGATCTTGTTTTAGTTCTTATTTCTAAGTAACTTCCCGTTTTACCTTGATGATCCGTTTGACTCTAACCTTCTCAGAATTAAACTCAAACTAGTGTGATTTAAACAAGTGGTCAACAAGAAAATCAACTGGATAAATTGTATCAATCAATTTAAGATAAGAGAGCGTAATACGCCGTGCTCACTAATAGATGTAATTTAAAATAGATGACTAAACCATTCGTATGAGGGTTGAAAAATTAATTTAGCTACTCATGGAATTAAAATAAATGCAATAGGAAAAAAAGATAACAAAATAATGCATTTTCATTTAATCAGGAAATAAGAACACAAATTAGAGTGACTAGAATTGCGATAAAATAAGCAAGGAATAGTTGTAAAAGCAATAAAGGAAGAACAAGCATGGAAATGAGATGTGTAGAAGTGATGCTTGGAGACTCCTTTTATAGACCATGGGAGTAACAAGGATTGAGAAATTCAAAGAGGGTTGGCAACCACTAGTTGTTGTAGAGATATTAGGAGTAAAACCAAATCTTGGACCAATAAATTGGTCAAAAGTTGTTATTCCCGTTTTGACAATCTATGCATGGAATGTGGCTGGCGCATTGTGAAGCTGGAATTTCCAAAACAATTGGTTGGCGCATCCTTCTAATAATCTGGAAATACTTGTGGTGCGATGTGCCTGACACATTACAGTTATCAATTTTTAATTTTTCTTACAAAATAAACAAATTTTCATCAATTAGCGTCTATTTTCTTCTAACTAATTGTCTAAGTCCTTAATAACGAAATATGCACATTTTCCATGAATTATATGCATTAAAATACATTTTCCATCATAATTAACTCCCAACTAAGCATGTAAAACTACTCTTTTTAGCCTTTAATCAAGTCTTATCAATGCTACAAGTGAATATTTGCGACGAGAAATGAATCCTAATTTTAGCATGACTGACCCTTTTAATCCAGTCCATATAATGTCTCCTCCCAGTTACATCTTCACCTATAGTCCTCCACCGCCCCACTCAAGCCATTGGTCAATCATGTTTCGGTCAGTTGCCTCTGTCCGATTCCGATCAGTTCCGTCCCATTCCGATTAGTTTCTCCCCATTTCGTTTAGCACTCTGATCGTCAGTATATGACTCGTAGCCCAATTCTGATTCGCGCGCCGCCACCCAACATTTTACGCGCCGTCACCGCTGAGATCTGCCCACATCGACCAACAGTCCACTGTAGTCCAGTTGCCTCTTCAACAGCTTAGTATTTTGTTTTGATTTTGAGACTTTGAACGATGGGAAACGAAGAAAGGAAAGGTTTAAAAGCTTGTTTGCCTTCCCATAATTTAGGGAGAATTTAAAAATAAAACTTTTTTTTTTGCCTTCATGTAATTTAGGAAGAATTTTAACATAAAAAATATGTGTGGGACCGACCACATGAATGTGTCGTTTAAAATCAAATTTGTGAAGTATATCTACGTAAGTCCAACTACTTTATATAGTATATAGATGTTATTGGTGACCTTCTAATTTTAATATTTATTCAATTAGTATATACATGTATTGACCTCCTAATTTTGATCTTTCTTCAATTAGCATATTTATGTATTGACCTCCTAATTTTGATAATGAGTTGCATTGTGATATACATGTATTGACATCCTAATTTTGATAATTGAGTTGAATTTTGATATATACATATACTGACCTCTTAACTTTGATAATTGAGTTGCATTCTAATTTTGATAATTGAGTTGCATTATGATATATACATGTATTGACATCCTAGTTTTGATAATTCTTGAATTGGTACTTACATGTATTGACCTTCTAATTTAGTAATTAAGTTGCATAGTGATATATACACGTATTTCTAAATTTAATAATTCTTCCATTGGTATGTACATTTATCGACCTTCTAATTTTGATAATTGAGTTGCATAATGATATATACATGTTTGGCCCTTCTAAGTTTAATAATTATTCAATTGGTATATATATTTATTGACATTCAATTTTTAATAATTCAACAAATGTTTAAAAGGATGACAGGAAGTTTGATGAGAATAAAATGGTGAATGATGAGTCTAGAAATGAAGAAAAGAGAAATAAATCAACGTTGAAATAATATTTAGAAACTTAATTTGATAATGATATGCACTCAAATAATTAGTCCACACAATCTATTGTTGCAAAGAGAGAAGGGGAGCTTAGAAGAAGATAGAGCAGAACAGTTGCAGAACGATGAGATGTGAGACAGTAGAAAAATGACAATCATTTAAATTAACTAAAAGTCAAAACAAAATAATTAAAATAATTAATTTAAAATCTCTTTAATGTATGAAAACAATTTGAATTCAAAACAAGGTTGTTATGTAGTTCAATATAAGAAAAACCCAAAAAACTAAAAAAGGTATTGTTGGAAAATCACCATATTTTGTAAGACTCCTAAAATGCCCTTTGGCCATGTGTGCAAAATTTAAAATTAATGGCTACTTTTTAAATAGTTGCTAAAATTTAGCTATTGACTTAAATTACCCAAAAAAATATTATGACAATAAAAGAAGAAGATGAAATATTAGTATAGAAATCAAGCACAAAATTGTAGAGTAAGATGAAACATGAAAAAGCTGCAACAACGTGCAAGTATTTATTTATTATTATTATTTTTTTCTTAGAAAACATCAACGTGCAAGTATTGATCAAGGACAGAGGAAAACTGAGGGAGGAAAGAGAACAAAAATGAAAGGGTAAAATAGACACAAAGTTTCGCACCTAATTTTTCCGTTTAAAAAAATTAGATTTGTTGACGCCGACTTTTGGCTGAGGGCCACGTGGCATGTTCGGACGAGCAGTCCAACCGTGGATCCATTGAACCTGAAACCAAAGACCTCGACGTTGGTGCGGTATCCTGCCTAATATACTTCGATGCTCAAGTTAGTAATTATAGTAAAGATAGAAAGAAGATACCAGAACAGTGACAGGTTTTTCACTTGCTTGGTGTGAAGGATTTTCCTTCCTTTCATAGCCCTAGAAGGCCTACCAAGAAGACGACGGTTGAACATGGCAGGGACGTCGCGCGCGGTACGGTTGGACAGAGAGCAGTGCATCCCTGACAGTGCAGAGTAGTCTCACTGCTTGCGTCGCCTGGGCATGTCGCCCAAGGCAGTTGGATGTGCCTGTCATGCCGACAGCACATGCCTGCGCCCGTGGAGGGGCGGACACATGTCCTATTTGGAAGCTACCCATAACAAGATTTAATGAAGATTTTTACTGAAATTCATAGATTTTGTAGGTTTTGAATTTTTCTATATTTGTATTAATTTACTAAATTAAGCCAAAAAAAAGATTATTCTTTCAATACTCTTCTTTGAAAAAAATTTCTAAACTGGGGGATTTTTTTTTTCTCCTTTCCAAAAGTATTCCTTGAATAAATTCGGCTAATTTTTTTGATTGTTGATTATTGTATTACATTTTAATCTTTTAAATTTATGTGACGCTAAATCCCTAAGTTTGTTCATTTTATAATGAAAAATAAAGGTTAGAGAGCAAGAAAAAACCATAAAAAAGCTCTCTCTAGTTCAACGGATGAAATTGAGAGAGATACAAATTGATTTTTTTGCCGCATCCTCATTATCCAGTCATGAGAACGATCAAACTTTGCTTTATCTCGATTCCATCGACCATCGTCTCAAAACAACGCACCCTAAAATTTCTTCCGATCTAAACAATGATAAATTTGGGAAAAGCCAACTACTGCTATCAAATTTCCATTAATCTTTCAATGTTTTAATTCCTTGAGTTCGCTTCTCTTCAATTCCTCTCTCGACACTAATATGTTCATTGTCGTTGTCGGTGCTAAGGCAAGAGAATAATACCCATATACTTCCACACCACTTGAAAAAATTTTCACTTTGTTCCATCCACAACCTCTTCGTTTTTTTGTTGCCATGAG